GGAGAGTAAATGAGCACACTAATCGTCTCCTTCAGCGACTTCTCAGTACCCTCTTTAACTTTTTTGACTTTAGGTTAATACTTTAAACTACTGCCGCGACCAATAGGACCTCTATGTTAACTCAGGGGCCCTAAATCAGACAGGTCACTTTGATAGGCATTTTTGGGAGGCACAGTGCAACAACCGCATGCCTTTTTCCGGTGCACATTGCCTCCCATATCAGGTATAGCAGTGGAGAGAACAACTCAATAGGCTCTATTTGATACAGTATCCAACATTCCATTACTAAAACTTAAAAGACTCTATGGTGAAGCGTTCTGTTGCAAGGGAAATAAACTGTAGCTTTCAAATGCTTTTTGTACTAGAAAACAAGATTGTGAAATAACGATTCGCTGGAGACAGGACTGTCAAGCATGGCAGACGATAACCAAGTGCAAACCGACATCGTGTTGTCGAATTCACTGAAGCTTTCGAGCTTTTTGATTTTTACCAAACGAACCATGCTCGTCATTCCAGCATCTGATCTTTGACTCCTTTGATTTCTGCCCCACTGCACCGGGGCTACAAGATGGTGAGGGCGTGCAGTACCGCAAGAGATGCCAAATTATGAGAGTGCGGCTAAATACTGAGAATAAGCACTACTGCTCACGCAGTTACCTGATGAAGCCCAGGGTCCAAATCCCAAAAATCACAACAGCCCGCCACGCCGGCAATTTGATGATTGATTGATTTGAGACGCGTTTCGTAGCTTAGTTGCTGAAATAAAGGACATATTGAGCTTAAAATCCTCGCCTAGACAGAAACATGTACACTCAACCATAATTGAAATCAGTCCTAAATTATCTACGAATGCTGGACAGAGACTCATATTCACTATATTGAATGCTATGAAGGTTGCCTTACGTCCTGGTTCTGTGATTTCTTGCTCATTACTCACAACTTGCCGTTTTTCCTAGCAGTGAAAGCGGCCAAGAGGTCCATCAAAGTTGGATTCAAGGCGTCGAAAGTATCCAAACCAACGGAGTGGAACTTGTCGCGGACCTCACCCATCTTGGCTGGGTCGAAGCCTTGCTCAATAATCGAAGAGACAAAGCCAGCGAATTGAGGCTCTTGCCATCCCTTAACGTCAGACAACTCGACGTGGACAAAGTCAAGACCCTTGAAAGCGTGGTCGACTTCAATACGTCCGTAAAGGTGAACACCACACTCCTTGCAAGCGTGACGCTGAATAGCAGCACTGGTATCAACAATGGACAGCTTATCTTCGTTGGCGGTGACTTTCACACTATCCTTTGAGATCACACCGACAACGGAGAACAAAGCGCCTTCTGGCTTCCAGCACTTGGAGCATCCACAAGC